GTGTCTTCTCGTGGTTTCTGCAAGCTTCCAGAGGCGCCCGGAAGGCCGTCAGGGAGCAGGGGTACCTCCTTCGGACCGTCAGAGAGGGTGCTTTGAGGTCTCGCGGGTCTCTCGTCCCCGGGGTGGGCCTGCTGCTGTTGGGGCTGTTGCTGCTGCTGCAGCACCTGTTGCTGATGGTGCGGCTGTGGTTGTGGGTGCTGCTGCGTTTGCTGTTGCCGCTGAGGGGGGTGCTGCTGCTGCTGCTGCAGCTGCGTGGTTATGTTGCTGCTGCTGCTGCTGCTGCTGCTGCTGCTGCTGCTATTGCTGCTGTACCTGCTGCGGCTGCTGCCCTGCTGCGGCGTCTGTTCGCAGGGTGTCTGCGGCTGCTGCTGCTGCTGCTGCTGCAGCTGTTGGGTTATGTTGCCGCTGCTGCAGCTGCTGTTGCTGTCCTGCTGCAGTGGCAGCTGCTGCTGCTGCCGCTGTTGCTGCTGCTGCGGCTGCGGCTGCAGGTGCTGCTGCTGTTGCTGCTGCTGCGGCTTCTGCTGTTGCTGCTGCAGCTGCTGCTGCCGCTCCTGTAGCTGCTGCTGCTGGGTTATATTGCTGCTGCTGCGGCGGCTGTTGCCGCTGTTGCTGCTGCCCTGCTGCTGCGGCTGCTGCTGTCGCTGCTGTTGCGGCTGCTGCTGCTGCGCGGCCGCCGCGGCTGCCGCCGCCGCGCCAGCGGCTGCGGCGGCCGCGGCGGCCGCGGCGGCGCCAGCTGCGGCGGGCCCCAAAGCGGCCGCGCGGGCCACGGCGGCCGCGGCTCCGGCCGCTCGGCCCGCGGCCGGCGCGGCCGCGTCGGCCACGGCGGCGCCGGCGGCGGCGGCGGCGGTAGCCGCGGCGCCGGCGGCCGCAGGGGCGGCGGCGGCGGCGCCGGCCGCCGAGCCCGCGGCGCCAGCCCCAGCGGCTCCAGCCCTGGCGGCAGCGGCGGCGGCCACGCCGCCGGCGGCCGCGGGGGCAGCCGCGGCGGCGCCGGCCACCGCGCCCTCCGCCGCCGCCGCCGCCGGGGGGAGCTGGCAGCAGCAGTGGCAGCGGCAGCGGCGGCGGCAACCGCCGCCAACCAGGGCGGCAGCGGCCAGGCGCCAGCGGGAGCCGAGCTGGGCCGGCCGCCGCCGCCGCCAGCCGCCGCCGCCGCCTCCCGCGCGCCGGCCTCCAAGGGGGAGGCGGCGGCGGCGGCGGCGGCGGCAGCAGCCGCAGCAGCGGCAGGCGGAAGACACGGCGGCCCGTCTCGGGCGGCGGCGGCCAAGCGCTGCCGCCGCCGCAGGGCGGCGCCCGAGGGGCCGCTGCCGCCGGAAGCCATCGCGACGGGGGGGGCCCTGCGCGAACCTGGACCAGGGGCGGGCTCGAGCCGAAACGGTTTGAGCCAGAGGGGCTACGGAAGATGGTGGGGATACGCGAAGCGTCTAGAATTCCGACACTTTGCAGGCTTACTGTGAGGAGCGGTTGCTTAGCGTGTCGCGGCGGCGGCCCCTGCGGCACGCCATACCTTGCGAGCTGAAGCCGTGACGCTCTGCCTCGTGGGACGGACGGGAGGCTGGGAGGCTGGGAAACGCTTGAAAGGCGATGCTTCGGGACTGGACGTGCTTCGGGTGTCTCGCCGAAGCGCGGTGGGCCAGAACCAGCGGCGCGACACCCCGAGCAAATGCCCCTGAACCTTTTTAAAGTTCTTCGGTCCACCTTCTGGCTGTCGGTAGGGCGAGTTTTTTGCTACTCGGTCGACTCGATCGGCTTTCGAACATCTTCGATCGCCGAAGCATATACGCAGCCCTCCCAACAGTCACCCTCCTCCTCCTCCTCCTCCTCCTCCTCATCATCATCATCGCCACCTCCTCAAACTACGGACAACAATCATCATCACCATCGTCATCATCAGCATCATCATCATCATCATCTTCATCAGCATCACCAGCACCATCACCATCATCCAGGATCGCCAGAGGAGCGCCGACCTTTGGCGGAGGGGGAAGGACGATGGCAAAAAACTGATTTGTTTGCGGGCCCTGCAAAATTCGCCATCCACAACCAAAGCTGTTCCAGTCAGCGTCGCATCTTCAAGAATGTCGCTGGCCCCGCTGGCACTGCGACCAATCGCCAGCACTCAAATCTCAAATCTGCCCGAAATGATTATGCAAGCGCAGTCGCCAGGTCACGAAGACGCACCGGGACTTGGGCAAACTTCTGGGCCACCGTCCAGGTGACGACTCGGAAGAAATCCATTGGGTCAGGCGTGGCGTGGTTATGATGATGGTGATGATGCCCAGGCAAGGCTGTTGAAGGTTGGAGAGCTCTTGCCGCTGCTGCTGCTGAAGTAAAGGGCGTTCGGTGCAAGAGGCCTGACAAACAAGCAAACCATTTGAGCAGACATGGGTACACCATCCCAGGCCGCCTTGGGGTTATCATGGGCAGACAGCCAGCTTTTTGGTCGTACTCTGCGGTTCGAGGGGTTGTTGCAGTTCGAACCGCCCAATTCTAACCGTATTTTTTCTGTTCGAACCGCCAATTTCCACGCGGCGAGCCGCTCGGTTCGAGCAAGTTGTTGGCCCGAACCGCCACGTCCAAGCGACATGTTTGCCCGAAACGCCAGATACGATGCGGTTCGAGCAAAATTGTTGCTCGAACCACCAATTACGAGCGGTTCGACCGATTTGTTCGCTCGAGCCACCATGTTCGAGCGAATCCCACCAGCCCTCTGGGCGTAGGTGGTCTAGAGCAGATCCTCTTCCACCCCTCCCTCTTCCCCCTTGGGGAGGGGTTTACCCCTCCCCCTACCCCCTCCCCTGGACCTGGACGGGGGGGGCCGCGGGTAGTTAGAGCGTCCCAGATGGCCCAAGACGGCTCCAAGAGCGCCTCAGAGAACCCAAGATGAGCTCCAAGATGGCTCAAGATAGCGCAAGATCGCTCACGATGGCTCCTAAGATGGTTCCAAGAAGCCCAAAGACGGCCCCAAGATAACTCCAAGTGGCCAAACAGCTCCCCAAGGAGGCCCCGAAGAGGCCAAAATCGTCCCAAAACCTAAGGAAAATCAATGATTTTTGCTTTCTCGCCTTTTCGCTTCCGATGGCCATCCGAGGCCTGGAGATGGCTCCAAGATGGCCCAAGAGGGCCCCAAGAGAGCCCCAAAAGAGCCCCAAGACGGCCCCAAGAGCGCCCAAGAGCACTCCAAGAGCGTTCCAAGAGGGGTCCAAGAGGCGATTTTAGGGGCTTCCGAGGGGGGACGCTAATTCACCCCCCCCTCTTGTTTGATCGACTCCTCCAAGATGGCCCCAAGAAGCGCCCAGGAAGCCCCAAGAGGTCCCAAGATGGCCCCAAAATGGCCCCAAGAGGCCCCCAAGAGGCCCCCCGGAGGCCCCCAAGAGACCCCCAAGAGGCCCCAAGAGCCCCCCCAGATGCACCCAAGATGCTCCAAGAGGCCTCGGCGAGAATGCCTAATCATTGATTCTACACAGGTTTTAGCCACATGGAGGCCTCTTGGGGGGGGGCACGGATTAAGATGACTCCAAGAGCGTCTGGGAGAGCCCAAAATGACCTCCAAGATGGCTCAAGATATCCCAAGATGTCTCATAATGGCTTCCTCTGTGTGCTGCCCACTCCTCTGATCGAGGCAATTCCTCTGGGCATCGTTTCTGGATGGGCTGGTGGGGATTCGCGAAGCGACAACAATTGGTTGCTACAACCGCCAAGTTCAAACGTAAACTGCTCTCGAACCACCAAGTGCGAGGCGGTTCGAGCGCTTTGTGGTGCTCGAGCCGCCCAGTTTGAGCGACGTGTTTGCTCGAACCACCAAGTGCGAGGCGGTTCGAGCGAAATTGTTGCACGAACCGCCGAGCTCAAGCACCACATGCGCGCGGAAATTACGCTCGAACCGTCAAGTTCGAGCGCAATGTTCGCTCGAACTTGGCGGATCAAGCGAATGTTTGGCTCGCCAAAGGCGGTTCGAGCGAAATTGTTGCTCAAATCGCCATGTTCCAACGAAAATTGCGCGCGACATTTTCGCTCGAACCGCCACGTTCGAGAGCAATGGTCGCTCGAACTTGGCGGTTCGAGCAACATTTGTGATCGAACCGCCAAGCTTGTGGCTATTCGGGCGTCTTTCCTGTGGTAAGACCCCCTGGGAGCTTCCAGAGGGGGGGTCTCACCACCGAACAACGATTAGTAAGACCTCCCCCCAGGGTGTCACCCAGGGGGATCATACCAAAGGAAACCAAATGTGTGGTAAGACCTCCTTGGGATCCCCCAGGGTGGGTAGGACTTACCACACGAAAATCGACTTTCCTTCGGTAACACCCCCCCTGAGGCTTCCCGGGGGGGGGGCTTACCACAGGAAAAATCGAGTTCCTGCGGCAAGACCCCCCCCCTGCAAGCCGAACATCCATGGTAAGACCCCCTTCCGCCGAGGAGGGGTCTCAACACAGGAAATCGGCCTTCCTGTGTTGAGGCACTCTTTTTCCATGGTGAGCCCCCCTCTCTGGAACTCTGCTGGCTCCAGAAGGGGGGGGTCTTACCGCGGACTCCCAAATTCGAGCGACAATTGTGCTCGAATTTGGCGGTTCGAGCGCAATGTTCGTTCAAACTTGACAGTGCGAGCCACAGTGTTGCTCGAACCGCCTCGAACTTGGCGGTTCGAGCGAAACGTGTGCTCGAACGGAGCGGTTCGCGCAACAAAAACCACTCGAACTTGTCGGTTCGAGCCACACTTTGGCTCGAGCCGCCAAGTTCACCATAACCATCACCACCACCATCACCATCGCCAGCTCCATCCACCATTAGAAAACTCAATCGACTCACTAACAACCAACGCTGCCGACAGGCTGCACGACATGATTGGGGAAGCCCTCCTCGCACCCAAAAAGCCCCCACCCCGACTCAACCCTTTACGCCTCCCTCCTCATCCTCATACTCCTCCACCGCCCTCGCACCCGCCTCACACTCCTCCTTGTCCTCCTCCTCGACTACCTTTTTCTTCTCCGACTCCCACTCCCCCGTGCCTCGATCCACAAGGCGTCCACATCCTCCGTCCAGTCTAGCACCTGCCCTCTGAGGACGGCGGGGTCAGAGGAAAGGGACGGAGACCTGACGGAGAGAGGATGAAGAGACAGTCGGCGAGATGGCAAGGGAGAAGGGAGATGGGATGGGCGAGCAGGAGGGTTATGGGGAATGTGCAGGTCGCTTTGCGATGAGGAGGGCACGCGGACCAGGGATGGATCGTAGGACGACGCAGTGGGACGGCCGCTGGCGTGGTGGCGCGTGCAGGCGACGCGAGACGGGCATCATGCTAGAAAAAGCAAGTACGCCATGAACATGAATTGCGTCGAAGGTCCGCGCGGACTTCTTGGATGGGCGCTGGACCCCCCCTCCCTGGCGCACGGAGCGCCCCAAGGATGGCGCCCGAGGCACCGCAAGGTGGAGTCCAGCGCAGATCTAAGACATCCGCGCGGACCTTCGCAAATTTATGTTCATGGCGTATTGGTCTTCGTCGACATGCGCCGCATGCTCGTCTCGTTTTTCCTCTGCCGCACGGCGTGCGACAGAGCTGCGACTGAAGGATGCGGCAGCCAAGCGCCCTCATCGCGGGGGACGGGGGGACCGCTGGACGCCGAAG